GGCTCCCATTATCCTCGTCATGTTACATCCTCAAAATATATCCAATAAATTGGTTAAACAGGATTTCCAAACAGGATTCACAAAGTCATGTGAACTTTGCCCGATTACCTTGAATTTTAACTGTCCTATTAGAATGTCTTCAGCAACAGCTTTGAGCATGTTCTCTAGAACAGCTTTTAAGCCAACTGACCTGTAGCTTCCAGTTTTCTGTCTCGTTACCTTTTTGAATAAGGAAGTCATATTTGCTATCCTCCCATCTAATGGAGCTTGCTTTCATCTCTAGGGAATTTTGGAAAATTAGATCAAACGCTTTAACTATCTCACTTGCCACTTTAAGGCATTAGGATAAAGTTCATCAGGACCATGGGACTTCTCAGCTGGCACCTTCGGCAATTTGCTCGGTACAACTTTCCCATTGATCATAATTTTCTTTTTTCTCTCTTAATTCCCAATTTCTGGGATAATATTTGCGTTCTTTATAGTGAAGACTGATACCTGTATAATTTTATCTACCATCTAATTTCCATTATTAATCCCCCAGACATATTTGACATAGGAATTCACTTTGATAATTTTTCTTAAAATATCTACAGAAACCTTTACTGTTATCGTATTTCTAGCTAGCTTTTATCTTGTACTCTACATTTTTCTGAGCTGCCACCTGCTTTTGTTTAATTATATGCTATTTATACAAGTTTGATACTATCCTTAACTTTCTTTATGTTAACTACTGCGTCTTTAGTGATCTATTCCTTGACTAAACTTGCCAGTTCAATTCAGCTACACTTTCGTGTCCTTAGAATGGCTGTTATTTAAGTTTAAAATGCTGGTCTTGGACCTACTTCCCTTATCAAATTTAATGCAAAGTTCAATCACATTAATTATGTTTGCTGCTGTCCAAGAGTGCCTTCACGGTGAGTTTATTAATTAATACTTTCTTGCTGCAAAATACTATGACAGCTGCTATTGTGACAGCTCACGAATGAGTCTAAGAAACCACCCCAAAAACATTCTATAATGTCCTAATCCAAGTAATTCGGCCATTGATTTTCAATTACTTGGATCAATCAAATCCATATGATTATAACTTCATCTATCCAATAAACACCCATTATTTCTTTCTTTACATTCCATCTTACCAGTGGCTGTTGCTAAAGTGCCTCTCACAAATAAATTCTAGAATAGATAATTTCTAACTTTTACCCAAATTACTTTTACGTCATGGTTTCCTGAATTTAGGACGCCTTTCTACTCTGCTAATGTCATCATTTAATTATCAGAACTACCCCTGTACCCTACGTCCAGCCCTTCCTCTCATCACTGCCTCTTTTGACCTGATACAACTTGTCCATCTTCCTTCTCACCTATCCACTCCCACCCTTCCCATTGACCAACCTCTACAACCCCCTACCTACATCCACCTATCACCCCCCAGGCCTGGTCCCCCACTTCTATGCATTTCTGAGCTCCCTTCCCCCTCCCCAGTCCTGCTGAAGGGTTAGACCTGAAACATCGACTTTCCTGCTCCTCTGAAGCTGCCTGACCTGCTGTGCTCTTCCAGCTCCATATTCTATCGACTCTTACCCCTCTATTTTTCTGGCTTCCTGTCTTCAACACGTCATGTCTCCTTCAATACTCATATCCTAATCTATGTCATCCCACAGTCATGCGTCTGTAATAGCTAGCAGATCGTTTTTATTTATTTCCACGTCTATCAGTTCATTAGATTTAATTTTGAATGAAGAGTGCATTCAGACAGAGTCTTTAATTTTGTCCTTTTTATTATTTTTCTAACTTTTAGCAGTATCTGTTGACTTACCTCAATTTTGTCTTCTCTATCCCTTTCTATTACGGCCAGCTTATAATTTCCCAAAACCATACCTTCTTCTTGATTTACTACACATTTCAGAACTTGATCCTTGCCACCTGTATTTGGTTTAAAACCCTTTCTACTTCCCTGCTAGAACCAGATACAGTCTGTCCCAAAGATACAGCCACTTTCCACAGTATTGGAATCTACTTCTACTGCACCAGACTTTGAGCTACTCCTTTCTCTAATCTCATTTGCTGTCTGCCCATTTGTACATGGCTCAAGTAATAATCTAGAGATTATTACTTTTGAGATTCCACTTGGTAATTTGGTGCCTCATTCTTCATACTGACTACACAGAATCTTGCTTCTTGGCCTGCCTATGTCATTGGTACCTACATAAAACAAAATGACTAGAACTTCTGCCTTCCAGCTTTAAGTCCTTTTCCAGCTGAGTACACTACCCAAAACCTGACAGCAGACAGGCAAGACAGGAGGCTGGACTTTTACTTTTCTCTGTAGAAAAGAACAATGCAGAAATAGGTGCTATGACAAATACCTGCAATGTAAACCACGGGCCTCTGGATAGATTAAAAATGACAACACACTCATAATAGTGATTATACTACTCTTGCTGTGAAATATAAGTTGAAGCAATACCTGTCTCTGGGGACAATTCATCAAGTAGCTTCACCATGCCATCTCCCTGCTTAGCAGTCCACATTTTAATTGGAGACCCTCCACCAATCCGGTGATACTGTTCCTGGATCTTGGGAGTACGTCGTTTTGCAATAAAAGGAGCAAGTTTGCTGAAAGAAAAATTGCAGAAATTAAGTTACTGTTCCTCCCGAATTTCATTGAATACACTTAACAATAAATGATTTACTATAAAAATAATATGAAAAGTATGTATGTTCGCTCTACATAAATGGCACCATTCACATTAACTTAGAGTAAGAAATAAAAGATAACTTAAAAGAGTTCAATTTTCCTTTCCACTGCCATCGTCCCACTCATGGCTTTTCAGCCCTCGCCATGCCTCTGCCAAAGTCTCTCTCCTCACTCCTGCCTCGTGAAGTATCTCACTCTTACATTCCAAAAGGGAGTATGGGCAACAGCTCTCTACTGCTCAGTTATCGAAGTTACATGATGATGATTGGACTTACCCTTCTACAACGAAATAATGAACTGAAATTTTTATTTCCCCTTTCTGGGATGTATCCCATTACTATCAATGGAGTCAACAGATTTCAAATATGTAGCATACATTGGGAGCAGTCAAACAAGTTAAGTCCTCTAAAAGAGGACTCAGCTCCTTTACAAAAATTACATTGTTCATCAAAACTTGAGGAAATTAAACTTTTAAGTGCTAAAACACTGATCAAATATCTTTCTTCAATGGATTAGGAAGGTTATGTTAACAGTTAGCACCAAACATTCCTTGCTGGTGGTCTACGGTCCTTCTAGGAGGTAGTCTCATGACCTGTATGTACAACAAACACTTTATGCCGGAATCAATATTCATACAACAAATTAATTTTAATCCCAGTGTAAAATGTATGTAGACTGTAG